AAAGATTCTGATTACCGATTCGGAAGCTTAAGTAGGTCTAGATCCCGGCAAGCATATCTTGGATTGTCGCACTCCAGCGGTGATTAACTTTGATTTTTTCTGTGATTATACGGGTCGTTTTAGCTTTGTGTGAGCTACCCAGATATGCTAAATCAGGTATAAGGGGACAAATACCGTTGATATTCCGGGGGAAAATGGTGGTCAGAACACTGAATTGTTTATAGATGCCTAAGATACCACATCTGTACCGCTCTAAGCTGAAAGATCCGGGAGCCACGCGCAGTGACCGGTTTGGGCAGACCTGAAGGCAAGTGATTTATCCGTCGGTGCAGGACGACCAACATTCAGCCACGTAGTTGGCATGGGGCAAAAAACAACTTGTAGGAGCCAGGTGAGGTAAAGAATCAAATGTGTTTTACAGAAAATGGGATTGGCTTGTAATCTTATAAGTTTTCGGAGCAATTCTGCTAGGTAGATCTTATGTGAGGAAGTGCCATCAAGAGTGGCTCTGGATAGTTATTAAACGCTTCAAGGCGCCTGTTTTTTCGCGCAATGGCTATCTTGTTACTGTTGTACTGGCTTTTCAAAATAGGTTAGGTCAGGGCGATAATACAACCGCAGTGATGTTTTAACTGACTTTTACTAACAGGTAGCTAAAAGCTCCTAATATAACAACAGCCAGTCTTGAAGCATCGGCAGTTGCTGGAATCGGCTTTATTAATTTATGGATTACTGCTAGCTAAGAAGTAAAAGCAGGCGTATACCTATATATACGCAAGTATGAATGGGGTATGAGTGACCTATAAATTCAACGTCACCGTAGTACAAAATGATTGACGTTACTATATTTTTCTACTGATATATTGACTTATACTTATTTTTATCACAGGCTCGTCTGGCCGATTCCCGAAGTGTATTAAAACGTGGTCTAGAATTAATAGCTGCTTCCCCTGTTATCTATAGCTGACCGGTGGGGTGCTGGACACCTACGAGACCTACTTATTTCATCTTTTGTAGAGAATACGACACCCGTTTTTCAACCGACGCCAGGACGCTATGTAAATCCCTTCGCGACATTATCAGGAGGTGTCCTGAAAGCATTTTTGCCTCTACTTCGTCAACGTGCAAACGGGGATCAGCCGAGAAGAGCCCTCGATTTGTTAAGAGAGTGTCAAAACAGTACTCATACGATCCACAGCAGTAATAGAACAACTAATAGCCGACTTTTGTGCATGTCACATAGGGAAAGCCACCATAGGGAGGGCGACGGAATCTATAATGACCGTCGCGATTTATCCAGCCACCTTTTATAGTAGCGGTTTTGCGATCGATGCGATTTTTAGTGAGATGGGCAGAAGTGACAGATTATTATACAAAGACCGAGTACGAGACCGAAGTGACCAGGATGCCGTGATAGTGCGAAAGGTGACATATCTCATTGAAGAACGATTTGAAGAATTTTGCAGTCATTAGGGCTACGCTAAAATAAAAATTGAGTTCCGTAATCACGTTGTCTAGTGATTCTTAATCGCTAATCTAAGACTTATACAAATATATGCTTAGGTATGGAGAACGAGTGTCTGTTCAGCTTATAGCACAAATATATACATAAGGTAGATCTTAAACAATGTAAAAACAACTCATAATTAGGTGATAGAAGAAACGTAAATATTTTCTGGACGGAAACAAGGTGGGTGATTTTAGGCAGATGTATCCGATGAAATACACTTCAATAGACGTGCTGATGCCTTGACGTTTGTATCAACGAATGGAAACCTGCTTCGTTAGCTATAGCTTAGGGGCAGCGTTAGAAAATGGAATTCGCGGGGTGAAAACTGTAGCACCTCTTCTTTTAAACTATCACTGAAAAATAACTATGTTATATACTAACGTTGTCTCCCAAGTATGATTTTTCACGCAGTTAATATTTGTTATTTCAGACGGTATCTAAAATGAGCTTGATTTGTATCTGTTTATTATATATAGAATAACTCCCTATTCATGTAGTGTAGACTGCCCATTGCGATGAGGGTTGAGGCGAATTAAGGCAGACTCTAATTAGAAATATGTTTGACTCCGTCTCAGTGTACTTTTTTCCCGTTCCTCACCCAAAATACAAGCTACACGGAACGTTTTTCTAAATTGTTCAAAAAAAAGTAAACTTCGGACCTAAAATCGCTAACGTCTCCCTTGAAACGTCATCAGCCTGATCACGAAGAAACCTATGCATCTTTCCTAAGTGTAGATTGCTTTGAATATATACTTCTTGGCTTATTGAGCGTTTCTATAAGAAGCTAAAGTAAAATCTGTTTACTGCAATAAAATGGTTGAAAAATTGCCCGTTTTCTTAGCGTGCCACGAATAAAGCGATAAATCATTTAATTTATTACTTGTCATCTTACCTCCTCCTGCGAACAAGACTCCTCTGCGTGCGCAGAGGAGTCTTGTTCGCAGACAAGTGGAGGAAGAAGGGGAAGCGGGAGAGAAGGCTTGAGCTTATGATCCCGCGCTTTGCTATCAGCTCTACTTCTGCTACGTAATTTTCGGCAGGAGAAAAATCGAGAAGACAGAAACACGCCGCAACAATAGCAGGCGGTAGGTGAGGTGAACGGTTCTCGTGTTGTCATCGCCCCTCGGCTTCACCAGCATCACCACGACGCGAGCTACGTTCAACAGTTAATTCATTCAAATTATCTTGGTCATTGTTTGGTTTGTATTATATTGCAAGAACGAGTGAGAAATATCACCGCACATCTAACCTTGTCGCTTGGCACTTGTGCATCACTTACGCTGGGGTCGGATGATTGACCCCGATTGGCTACAACTACGCGGTCGAACCCTTCGACCTACTACCTCGATGCGCACCACCTGCTCGCAAAATCGAGAATTTGCCGTAGCAGCTGGTAGCACTTGCTATATTTGTATCTGTCGCGGTACTTATTTCGAATAGAAGGGTAATTGGCCGTCGCATTGTTCCGGCCCAACGCAGCATCGCGTATGTGTTCGCTTAATGGTACTTCGTTTAAAACAGATCATTTCTCTCAGCCCGACTATCAGTCCCACAACAGCAATAGCAGTAAAAGATAAAAAGATTACTGCCGTAAATACAGTGGCAATGTAAATTCTGGAGAATGTCCGAGTGACAATTCTTCTCATCCTCCCCCTTCACAGAAAATATTCGTCCTTTCGATAATGATGCATGGCTAAGATCTAGCTTAACATTAACGACGCTATAAAGGACACCATTGATAATGCCGTCCTTACCTAGTCCTAAATCTTCAGCGACTTGTTAGGAAGAAAGCGTTTTCCATAGCCGAGACTCTCAATTGTCCCTTCCGCAATAGACATTTGCACAACTGTTTGGTTACCGTCTGAGAATGTCTAAACCTAAATGAATATAGAAATTTTTTTTATATATATATATATATATATATATATATGACAACATTTGCTCCTGAGCGGAGTAGAACGATGAGAAATCGTATCAATTGATCTACGATATGGCCAGCGTTCATGGCCGCGAGCGAAACCGTCCCGGGACACATTCTTTGTTACCCAGGTGAGTAGACTCTGGCTTCGCAAAGTGTTCATCGTCATGTACATTGTACTTATGTCAAATGGTCGTTCTTAGATACCCCTGTAGTCGATATTTTTTCTGCGTTCTTATGAAAGACACGCTCGTTAAAAGTGACGCTTAAATCTGGCCCATTGAACTCGGTTCACTCAAGTACACTTTAGCTGTGTAGTTTGTACCCGACAAAAAGTAGACGATATACGAGTGCCAACTAAGCGAGATATCATCACACATAAGGGTAGGACGACCGTATTGTAGGGTAATTAGCACGTCATCAACGTAATAGGGACAAATCGGACTATCTATCCAGTACAGGTCTTCCCATACAATGATCGAATTCGATCGATCAGTCGTTTAGTCGGCACTGATCCATCAACGAACGACACAGATCATTCAGTTAGCTTAATTTCTCATAGGTCGTGTAGGTATCTGTCATTCAATAGTTGGACATGAGTATTGAAAGTCTCTTTTTTTTTTTAATACACAACGTACGTTCTGTATAAAAAGGAGCAGCTAGGGTCAATTCAGCTATTTTAGGCCTATTGAGCTTCGCGCATAGCGTATTTGCTTGCTAATTTTAGGGACGCGTGGTGGTCTAGATCCGAACTCGGGGATAGGCAGATTTCGTTTCGCGCTGGGAACCAACCGCCTATCTGACGGAACGATTGCGAACATAGAACTCGAAACATGAAGGTCTATCGAGCGCATATTACTTCTCATTGCAATTTTGTATGAAAACTTTAATTTCTTTCTTTTGCAAACTGCCACCAGAACAGCGGTGGCATCATGCTATTCTTAGCAGAATAGATTCACAACAGCAAAACCTCCTGGCTAACATATATGTCAGTTTATTCTCGCTTTCGCATTCCGAAAACTTGGCCATCGTTTAAGTATTACTATTATATATACGTTTAGATATGGCGTATCTGAAAGCTGTTATATACCAGTACAGTTGCAGCTGTTCTCTGTTCACATGTTGGGCTATTTGACAAATTGTGGACGAATCTGTGATACTACCGGCGGGTGCCCTATGACTTTTTATCAGTTCAGTTTGTTTTTTCCGACAATGATTATTAATGTTATTATTATTTTCTATCTAAATAGCGCCCTCCTCCTAGAACCCAGCTGGCAGCCCTCTCCTTCTTTCGGTGCGCGATGCTGCCGTTCGTATTTGGCCTCTTGAACACCTTATCGGTGTTCCGACCAGCGACTTGTTCTTTCTACTGATTCTATTCGTTCGCATTTTTGGGCTCCGCATACCGTCACACATGGGCCCTGGGTGAGGGTCGTCGTGGTCTTTCCCAGGCTCCGCCTTCTGTTCGGAAGGCGCGAACGTACCGACGGGTGCGCGCGAGCTCTAGCTAAGGGCCGTCTGGAGGGTGGAAACGGTGCGTGAATACGAAGGCCCCAGGTAGAAATGGTAAAGTCCCCTGACGAACAACGTGCACGCATGCTTTCGTTGACCGACGATGAAATATCTCATAAAGATATCTTTGTATCGTCTCAAGTGTTACGTGCTGTGATATGTTACTCGTAGATCGTTCGCGTGTTATCTATGTGGGGAAGTGCAGTGCTGTGAGGTAGGTACCTTACCAGGTAGTAGTACACTACATAGGTTACTGGAAACGTTGTAACCAAATGAAATTAACGACGTGACCTCAGTGACAATGTTCTCCAATGTATTGAACGTTACTCTTATGAGAAAGTTCAGTTGAAAAAGACCAAAAGTGAACACGTAACGTTCAGTTTAAGTTGCATATGTCGGGGGTGAATAAGTGCCCGCGTGGATTTGTTTACGACGACGACGACGACAACAACAAGTAACGTAGGCGAAAGCTAATGTCTGGAATGAATAAAGGCTCCAAACACCTATAAGCCGCATCTCTAATAGCGTTACCTCATTAACTGTTCGATTTCTAACGAGCCCAAGTACAATGCACTATCGATTGGAGAGCTTGTTGCTTAATTATTATCTTGCCATGTCTGTGTAGTTGATGAATGGCTACTTCGAGACAACAAGAGAAGCTACCTAATAGCTTTTCATAGGCCAGTGCCATATGAGCGCTCCCGCTATCCGTGATCTCTGACGAGTGTACTATAAAAAAGTGTTATAGATTTACGAGCGTCGATTGTGCAATCGTATGTTTAGGAAAACGTGAAGGTCGTCATTGGAGGGAAATCATCAGCTCCCGTGGGTCATGTCGTTTGGAGCGCTGCTGTTACTCTGTGTGTGCCCCTCTTCTTTGCGGGGGTTTTAGTATCCGTCTGTCCTCGGTATCGGTGAGCAATTGAGTGACTGGCTGCCGCACCCTTCCTTTCGACAATCCTAAAGAAGTTGTACGTCTGCTGACAACGAGTGCGAAAATAATGGTAGTCACAAGCTTAAATACAACACGGAGCATTTGGCTGGCCAGCCGACTTCTTCTTGCAGTGGTAACAGCCATAGCGTAGGTGTTCGTTGGCGGCTTCTGTTCCGGTCCCATGCGCTAACAATAAATGCCCTACACAGCGTTCTCTTTCTGTTTCTCCTACGGCTGCTGCTGTTTCCGCACTAAAAACACTTCTGCCCTGCGGGTGTTCCATTAGAAGTTTGAAGCGGTGTGCGCGCGGGTGGTCTGTCGGCTTCCCTCGCTTCCTCCCTCCTTTCCTTTATAGTTTCCCCATAATCCCCGACTACTATTCTCCTCGATCACTATCCTAAACCTCGACGCACCTCTTTGCACTCCTATCGTCCTACTTCGGTGTTTGAACCTAACGGCGGGCCAGTCTCCGGATGCCTGCGGTTTTCTTGTGTGGAACTGCGCGAGAGTGCGCGTTTAGTCTTGTGTCCGTGTCAGAGCCCGACCATGTGCGGGTTTGGTAACCACCGCGGGAACCGCTAATAAAGACTTGGTGTTGTCGCTGTCGTCGTCGGAGTAACCACCGACTCGACAGCCGCCGACTTAGCGGTTCTGGCTACTCCCAGAAAAAAAACTGCGTCCTAATGACTGCCAAAGAAAGAGGCTGCATTCAGCCGCCGTGAGTGGAGCGAGTGAAAATGATGCGAGCCTAAGGGGAAGCCAGGCAGCCAAGACGTAAGCATAGAAGATAAAACGAGTAAAACATATTCTGAAGAGGTTGAGGAAGCAGACAACAACAGCAGCTATTCAGGAGTGAACGAAGTGAATTGGGCTAAGACGCAATGAAAACGTTTCCAAACTACGAGGAGACCGGACAACAGCAGGAGTATAGCTGCGTTATTTGAATGATATCTTAGAAGATAATCAAAGAGCGCCAGCATCCTCTGGCAGTGAAACAGCTCTGCAAGGCTCATTCATGTCTATGCCAATGGTTTCGTTTGTACGCGGCAGGGCTGAGAAGCCGAAACGCCAAATGTGGAACAATTGTGTGTACAGTTCACTGCATCTCAATTTCACCTTAGCTAGCCTAAGATAGATTTAGGCGTGCCCGAAGAATTTCTGGAGCTTCTCTGAAGCGACGTTAACTATCGTGAATAAAGCAAATTGGTTAATACTAATAGTAGTAAAAGCATATTCCGTTCGAAATGTCAGGCAAGGAGAGCAAAGAGCTTCTAGTCAACTCGACAAGTTCCGGTTCGGTTACCACACACACCGATGGTACACCGGACGACAACACTCTGTCGTACCGTCCTCGAACCTGTAGTTCATTTACGCTGGCATCTCAGTCGAATACTCAGACGACGACGACGACAGTTATTACCGAAGATATCCTCCAAGCTTCGGCCGATAGAGGTGGAACTGGAATAGCTGGGTTATCGACAGAGGGTTTGGGGACTAGTTCGAGTCTTAGATCGGGATCGTCAAATCCAACGACCCTCGAGGAACATCGGCGATCCTTGTATGTGGGACGCGATTCGGCGCCACCTACAGCGACGGCTGCCAACCTAAGTAGGCGCGAAGCTGAGCAAAGAATGGCCACGATTCGACAACATTATTACCCCGAGGGTGAATGGGGTTGGGCTGTTGCGGCGTGTGCGGCATTTGTGAACGCATTGACTTTTGGCCTACAACTCAACTTTTCGGCAGAAATGCATCAACAGATCATACAACGATATGGCAAGGATCACTACTTCACAGCCTGTAAGTTAAAAGAAAGTCAATCAATGTTGTTAGTGTAGAAACGATACGGTTTGGCGTGTAGGTAAAAAGTTTGTAGGGTTGTAGAATACCTTCGCGAAATGTACTTCTTAAAGAAGAGACACACGGTGTGGTAAGGGGCGCATTTATTAATAGTCTGATATAAACATGTTATATAGCTTGTTTGTTTCTTCGGTCTACGGTAAGCTTTTAATGAGCATTACTTTGCTAATCGAATAAGTGAATGCAGAGTTTCCTGGTACTGTTACGTTACGACGATAAAACACTCGCAATATATGTATATATTCCTAGTGCGACACATTAAAAAATAATTAAATAATGTACTAGATTTTCAGCAATAAACCTTCAGTGAACAAAATCCGTATTGTTTATTTATATCTCCACTATTACGTGTCCGCTACTTTGAGTCTTAAATACGTGGTTATTCTGTTATCCGCGAACTTATAGAGACCAGCTTTTTCATTCAGTAGGGCCATCTTAGCCGCTGTCTACTCTCTCTGCAGTAGGAGGAAACTTGACGGTCTACAGAAATGAATTCCATCTTGAAGTTACGGTGGAGAAAGTGAGCTCGCCGTATATCGGGTAGGTTCTATTACTAGGAACATCGCGAGTGGTTAGTTCGAAAAATTCCGGAAAGCAACCCTCGAACTCATGTATGGGTCTCGTGAAAGACTTTCTGCGAAAGTGAATGATGAAGAGTTGAAAGCTGTGGCAAAGCTCGACCCATAACAGAGTCCAGTAGTATTAATTATGCGCCAATACCATATTCGGTCACCTCGGTCAAATACTATAAGATTGAAAGAAAAACATTGGACAAACACTTGCCGCGTGAACTAAGCGAAGACTAAAAACAGCGACGTTTTCTCCTCTTTATAACAGTGAAATATTTTT